GATAAAAAGAATTCCCTGCCAGTGCAAACATAAAAGTAATCCACTTTTGATGATCCTAAAAGTTAGTTTAATCCTGTTTTTGGTACCCCCTACTCAGTATTACAATGTATCTATCTGTTTTACCTGCTAGCCCATAAGCTCCCTGAAGGTGGACACTGATATTCAGGTGTGTCTCCAACATCAAACACATTTTAAACAAATAAGTAAACAGTGTTTTTGTTTAATTTAGTCCTTTATTTAAACATTAAAATATTCTGTTCCTAAGTAATTTTGCTATTACTATGGACCATTTTCTGGTATTCATCCACTACAAAACAAAACAAAAAAACACCAAACCGTAAATGATATTACAATAACAATGTAATGAGCCTAGAAAGTAAAATTGTAAGAGAATATATAATTAACTAGATGCACAACCCTTTTTATCTACTAGAGTAAAGCATGGCATTAGCTAATCGAATAAGCAACTGAATAAGCAGATTAAAAAAAAATTTCATTAAAAACTAGTACTGGGTTTAAATGAATCATCTACCTCTTTAGAGAATTTGATTGCCCTCTAGTGGGGGGAAAAGTTAATACAGACTCCAAGGTTTCCAATTCAGAGAACCAAGAAAGAGAACCAGCCACGGTTCTGGAAACATCTAGGTCATCGGCTAATTTATTTTTCCCTTCTCTGGCAAATTTCTTGAATTTTTTCATATAAGGCCGCAAATTTCTTGCATTTTTCTTATAAGGTCACAGATCCGTGACCACAGAATAATGTGTGTTTTCCCAAGACCAAAGAGGAAATTGGTGTGAGCTGCATGCAGTTAGCTATCAGCAGCTTGCGGGTAGGGGGGATGGGGTGGGGTGGCCACGCCCAAAGCAGGTAGCCACTTGCTGGGAGGCCAGCTGCTTCCAGCCTTGTGTGGGCAACAGCTACTGGGGTGGAGTGGGCACACAGTCAGTCCTGTACAGTTGGAGTGAAAAACAGTGGTGATTGATAAATCAGGAATTAAAAAAAATAAGGTCTGGATTCATCAATGAGAAATAGTCTCAATTATATACGGAATCGATTCACCTTCCATTTAATTTTTAATCATACAGATTTAACTGAAAATTCTGATTGATAGCAACTACTAGATGTTCACAGACTTAGGTTAACTATTTGCATCCTACATTATAGGCAGGAAAACGTTTTTATTGTGTGACCCGGCTGTGTGGCACTGGGAGAGGGCATTTCTTGAATCGGAATGAAATGTAGCCTCCTGCAGCATTTTTGTCACTGAGGACAAGCTATTTGATGGGAGACATATTGCGCCAAATGATCAAATGCTTATTCCACAGTCCTTTAGTAATTAAAAAAAAACAACAAACAAACTCCAAAGTAAGTAAAATTGTTTTTAATCACTAAGGGCAGAAGCAGTTGTTCTAACAATAAAAATACCTGTGTCTCCTTTAGACTAGAAACATTCACTGCAAATCTGTAAATCACATCACAAAACCATTGTGAATTTTGACTAAACAAAATTCTAGATTTTAGTATTACAAACTATCCAATCTTTATTATTTTAAAATATACTGCACTTTCAGAAAATTTTAACACGCATAGACAAGAACCACCCGTGTATTAATTTGGACCATCACACTAGCCATCTGCTTGGGGCTACACTGGGTCACATAATACTTATTGCAGGTTCAGCTTACTTACTTGGCATGAAAAAATTTTATTTATATCTATATATATATATCTATATATATCTATATCTATATATACGTATATGATTAGTTGATAAACTATGTCTTTCAGTTTTATCCTGAAATCCTGACCAAATCCTGATCTTCTCACTTGTAATATTTTATCTGTCCATTTAGAAGGTGCCTACTTCATTAGAGAAAGCAATGGGAAATATTCTCTGCACCTAGTGCAGCCGTGCTGAATACAATAATGGTTTAATGAATCAGGAAAAAGTACCCACCCTGGTGATTAATTGATTATGCTTTGCAACTGGAATCATTTCCAGATCCATTCCTTTCCTATTGCAGAGGTTGTGCTTGCTTTTCATGATTTGCAAATGCAGCTTATTTATGGCAGAAAGGACCTTTGCATTTGTCGTAGTTGGGGTGGGACATTTGGTGGCTACCATTTCACGATCTGTGTTTCTGTGTAGCATTGAGACTGTATCAAGAATCAGCAGTTGTAAGAACAGTTTCGGGGGGAAAAAGTTAAAATATTGTAAATAACGTACACTTATATATTTGTGGATATAACCTTACGAAATACACACTGAAGATCATACCTCAATTATATGTGTATATTTTCATCCATTGCAGCCCCATACGATTCTCTGTGGAGAATTTTCTAGCAATCTTTAGCACACAAGCCCTGCCTATCAAGCACCTGCACGTAGATCCAACCCACACGAACATGCATAATCTGAGCAAAACCGGAAATATATTTCCTTTATAACGTAAAATGAGCAATGGAGACAGAATTCCCTTTTGGGGAAGGGAGGAGTCGGAGAAAGAGTGAAACAAGGGTTAATCCTTAACCAAAGACAGTCATTCAGACCTTTTGAACAAATAAGGCCACCGAGTCATGGAATGGTAATGATTTGAAATAACAGTAAGTGATGATGATGGTGATGAATTTGTAGCCGCCCTCCTGCAGCAGAAACCTCTCGGTGCACTGCGGGAGCAGAGCGCAGGGCCAGATCTCCCCCATCCCCCATTCTCAGAAGCTTTCTGGAATTGCGGGTGAATTGTGGGAAGCGGCGGGTAGCTTAGGACACTGCGCAGAAACCTGTCTCCCGGGCTGCACCCGCGGGGGCGAGTGCCCAGCTCCCGGGCGGGGAGCGCAGGGCGCAGGGCGCGGCGTGGGCTTTGCAGGGTTGGCGGCGCTCCACAGCCGGCTCGCCACGTGCGCCCCCAGCCTGCCTGCGGTTGGTGGTCCCAGCCATGCTGGGAGGGGTGGGGCTGAGCTGCGCCCTGCCGGAAAAGCGAGGGTCCCTCCTAGGGAGACTGCCCAAGGGGTCTCCATCCCGAGAACCCAGTGTGGGCTGTGGAGTTGGGCTGCGGGAACGTAGGCTCGAGCTCCAGGGGCTGTTGGGACCGTGAGACGAAAAACCCCTCCCCGCACTCCCCGACCCAGGTCACCTCTGTGGTCTCACAGCCGGCTGGGGTGGGGCCGCGCCTTTGTGTGGCCGGGCGGGGCTCCTGCCGGCCTTTCTACAGAGCCACCCACTTGGATGGCTGGGATGTAGAGTGACTGTGCATATCGAGCGGGGCCCGAGAGGCTCTGGACTGCGGGGCTGGAAAAGGGGGTCTAGGACTCCAGACCCCCAATCAACTCCCTTTCCCTGTCAAGCCTCGGAACCCGAGGTCTTCCCGGCTCCGAGGGCGGAGGGCGGGGCAAGGGCGGAGCTGCCCAGAGCAAACGCTGCTTTCTCCCTTCTCCGCACCCGCACCAGGTCCCGGCTGAGGGCTGCTTCCAGCCACCGCCGAGCCTCGGGCCCCTCCCTGCGTGTCCAGCCCTGGGCCCCCAAGCGCCGGAACCAGGGGGCACTTGTAGCACAAGGCAGGTTGGAGAAGGAGACCCTGGATGAGGAATCTAGTTCGGGCTGTGTGTCTGACTGGTTGCCTCTCTACTCTAGGCTGAACCTATGAAAATTGCCGGTATTTGGTCCTGCCTGACCTACAAAATGGATATTTCACGTGGCTCAATTTAGGACCTTGACCGCTTTTGGATCTGTTTTATACATACACATATCTAGGTTCCAGAGGCTTTTCCTCAAACCGATCAGAGTTCAAACAAGCCTTTATCTGCGTTTATGTCTAGTCACCCTATGCAATATAGTTTTGAAAAGAAAAATGCTAGCTCACTTTTCCGTCCCCCCAACCCCCGTAACACAGAACAATGATGGGGGGGGGAAGGGGTGCGGCAATGGTCAGTCGCACTCCGAAGCCAAGGCTGTGAGTGGATTGCCAAGTGAGGGCCGTGGCGCTGGGTTCCCCCCTCCCCGCTGGCTGGGCTCCTGGGGGTCGTGCAGGCCCTCCCCACCTGGCCCCCTTTCAGCCTGAAGATGCTGCAGTCGGCTGGGGGGTGGGGCGCCTGCACCGCTCTGCACAGGGTGGGGCTGTCCGCATTGTGCACCCAGCGCGGCAGGTGCCTCCCCCAGGACCGTGCGTCCTCACACAAAGAAACCCCACCCCAGCGCCTGCTAAACGGCTGTCCCCCCAGCCCTCCCTTCCACGCGCTGGTCCCCGCCCCTGCAGCTGCCCACCCGAGCCCTCCGTGCCCTCCCCGACTTCCTCTCTTCCACCCTCCCCCTTAAAACAAAGGAGCGCAGCCCCCACCCCCGCCCTGAACCTCTCCGCACCGCCCCAGGACTAGCGGTTTCTCCGGCGAGACAATACCGTAAAATCTGCCCGTTCCCCACCCACCCTGGTCTCCACCCATCTTTCAAGCCCAGATGGGACTGCTTTGACTTTGCATCCCCCCCTTTCTCCTACCCCTCTTTCTCTTCCCCATTTCCTTTCCCTTTCTTTCTTTCTTTTCTTTCTTTTCTTTCTTTCTTTCTTTCTTTCTTTCTTTCTTTCTTTCTTTCTTTCTTTCTTTCTTTCTTTCTTCTGGAGAAGAAAAAAAAAAGAACATTACAAAGCACTTTCTAGAATTTCCCTTAGCCCCATTTAAGGCGAACAGCAAAGGTCGCCCCCTCCCTCCACGACTGAGCCTTCATTTTAAACATGGAAACAGCATAATTTCCCTACCCTTGGGAAGGCAACTTACCTGCTGCTACTTTTCAAAAGAAATTCTTAGCTTTAGATTTCTTAGCTTTAGAAATTCTTAGCAAGGATTCCCTCTCTCTGCCACCTCCCAGCCCCTCAGAGCTGCACCCCGTGCTTCCTGATCCCCGTTACCACCAGCGTTTTTTTCTCTATGAAATATCCCCGAATGCCTTCACGGCTCTAAGAGACAAGGTGAGGCTGGGCTCCAGGTGAAGCCAGGCGCGCTGCCTTACCCATTGCTGTTTTAGCCATTGTGGGAGGTGCAGGTGCTGAGCGGCGCTGAGGAGACGGGTCCAGCTACAGCAGCGGAGACAGCGAGACGAGACTGAATAAGGCACTGAGTCTGCAGAGTGGGACCGTGCGAGAGAAAGAGCAAGAGGCAGGAGCCCATGAATAATTATCACTCAGAAGCTCAAGCAGATTGGCTCCCAAGGTCCCCTGACATGACTCCCGCAGAGTCAGAATCTCCAAGCATTAAATATTGATTGGCCAGCGGTGCTGGAGTACAAAGTACCAGAATGCAGTTTGAAGTGGAAATCAGTCCTTGCTTGGCAGCTCCCCCCGTTTTGGGGGCCTGGTAGTACAGTCCAAGTAGAGTGGAAGCTGAGCCCAGGAGCCTCCTAGGAGCTAAAAGCCAGGCTGTGCCTACCTGGGAGCCAGGGCGTTTGACTTCATTCACATGTTTCATTGCACAGATAGTCATAAAAAAGGGGAAGGGATTCCAGAGGCCTGAGGAGTCTTCGCAACATGCTGACTGTTGGAAACATCTGTTTAAACATTTTTTTTTACTTGTTCATCTTTTCTCTTTGGCCTGTGGCCCTGTCATTGGTAGATGCTAGTCTCCCAGGGTGACCCCATGTCATCTGTGGTGGCAGCTCAGGGCAGAGCTGCATTCTTCTCTCTTAGCACAGCTGGACTCAGATGTCGTAGTCCTTTTGAGGACCCCTCAACAGAGCAAGGCCTGATGTTTTCTAAGAAAACTTGTGGCACTGAAGGAAGGGGTTGCCTGTGCTACTTGAAACAGGGACCAGTAGTTCTGGTCCACCTGGGGACCTCATGGAAGTGGATGAGAGTTAGCCTCCTGGTCCTGTGTCCTGTCCATCTGGTAACAGGGCAGAACCAGGTTGACTGGTTGCCCTGAGCATTGGAGGAGCCGCAGGTGGGTGGACCCTTGCTACCCTGGAAATGCAGGATAACATGGGTTGAAACCTGAGTGACCTTTTTGGGCCTCTAAGGACAACCTTTTACATTGCGAGCCTAGTAAAGATAAAAGACAGGATCTGGAACGTGATTTTTTTTTTTGAGATTCAGAGATGCCATTTGATACAGGCCAAGGAGCGATGTGTTCGTTTCCAGCTGAGCAACGGGGTCTGTGAGGATCTCTGAGAGCAGTCGCAAACATGACTTTTTGTTACAAAGGAGTCACTCATTAGTTCATTCTTACTCAGTGTCATTCATTCATTCATCGGCTCTCACTTGACTCACATAAATATCCACTGAGTGCTTACCGTGTACCAAGCTCTGAGGATACAGCAGTGAGAAAAGCTTTTGGGCTTGTTCTTATGGAGCTTTTAATCACTTCTGTGACTTTCCTGAACCTTCCCCCAGTCTAGATCTACTGAGAAACTGTGGTTTGACATTAAAAAAACAGGCAAAGACTAATTCCATTGCATGTGAGCTAAAAGAATAACCCATTGTTGACATGAACATGTATGAAACCCTGGCAAGTTCTTATTTAATAGAAATGATTAGAATTTTTCTCACGAATGAAGTAAGTTCTTAGCAGTTTTCTATTAAGCCACATTTCAAAATTTCTTTCTAGCCTTATGAATAATATGTAGTTTTAAATGTATAAAGCCATTTGAAAATAACAGGGCACTCTCCTTGGTGCTGAAATAAATTTCTTCACCTCCTGTTAACTTGTGAGATGTTTTAATCCCATGGACATCTTACCGAATGATAGAAATCTACTGGAACTGAATCAATTCTGACCTGCTGAGTCATAGGAAAAATAAGAGATAAAGTGGAGATCAATAAAAATATTTTGTGAACAGGAAGATTAGAAATTATTTTTCCTGTCATTGGATAGGTCCATGACTATGACACAGCAAGAGAACAATATGGAAGTTGGCAGAGTCTGAAAGTAAATCACTGTTTTCTCCCTTTCTATAGCCATTTCCCACTTTAAATGTGAGAGCTGACTCCCTCTCAGTGGAGCAGTTACCAGTCATGAGATGAGGGATCCTTGGCACATCTGTGTGACTAATGGCTTTAGAGTATCTATTCTTTTTCCTCACCACACCCTTTCTCCTCAGGCTATGTGTCATCTTTACACATTCTTTATTTTCCTTGGAGAAAAAGGTCCCTAACTCATGGCATTAATGTCTTCAACAACTATCACTGGCAGTTGAACAAGATCTATTGCCCTTTTGATCAGTACGAGTGAAACAAAACAAAACACAAGCTCTGCTGTCTAATCTCTCATTCTCTGGTAGACACAACTTACTGATGGATAGGAATGTGAGAGGAAGGCCAGTATGCACAGGGGCAAGTGTCAGATGTGTGACTCTTCTCTGTTTCTGACTTTCTGGGGACTGGGCACCTGAACTCAGTTATGTATGATTTTCAAATAATGTCCACCAGGGGATGGTAGGTTAGTATGACTTACTATAGATTATAGAGATAGCGGGCTAAGTTCAACCAGCTAAGAAAAAACCAAGCTCAGAGAGCTGAGTTGCAATCAATCATTGTTTTGTCTTTTCATTGTCAATCATGCATCTTAGCCAGAGAGAGCAGGGGCAAGATAGGAAGAGAGAAATTACCTCACATTCTGTCCTTTTTTTTTATTCACTCATTTTTTCAGCTAATTCATTCATCCAAAAAGTGTTTATTTAATGAAATTTCAGACTTTTATATTACGAAATCAGCTAAGCTTCTCCTTGATGTCTAAAAAACTATAAAATGAAGAAAAATATAAGCCCCACCTCTTTAAGAAAATGTTATTATTACTTTTGGATGATGAATATTATCCTGTGTATCAGTTAGAGTCCTTTTGGTTGCCAAGAATAGAAAAAACCAACCAACCAACCAACCAACCAACCAACCAACGCAAACTGGCTCCTCTAACTAAAGAGGTGGAGTGGGCCCCAGAAGTCTGGAGATGAGAGCTGCCCTGAAGTACTGGTTTTCATGGGGACACGTAGATAGACGCTAGATCTGTACCATGTAAAATAAAGACAGCGCTACCTATCTTGCAGGGTTTGGGTAGACTGAAGGGTTTTGATGCGAGTATATAACCTGCCCAAATCACCGTGGATAGTTAACAAATTGTAGCAATTATTTTTATGGTTTCTAATCCATTTAAACTTTGTAAGTGCAGGGACTGCGAGTGTATATATTTACATCCTTTTTAGTGCTTGGCTTGATGATTCACATGGTAGATGGTCAATAAATGCTTGTGCAATAACAACGACCCTAAGAAAACACAGTTGAAAATAATTCAAGGTGACTGAACCCAGTGACGCCTCAGCGATGCCCCATCTGCCCCTGTCTGCTTTGTTCATGTTGGGTGTGAGTACTAGGCTGTTTCTTTATTTATATCCTGCCCCATTCACAAAAGCACATGGGTGGATAGAGCTCATGTCAGTAGGAGACCCTCATTAATTTTGTTTTTAATCTTTAACAGCAATAGGAAGAGGTTGTGGGAATCAGAGACGTGCTAAGAGATTTTAATTACTGTGGGTTACAGTGTATTATTTATTATCCCTGCGAGGAGGCCTGAGGTGTTGATTTCTGTCCAAAGTGGAGAGGACAGTTGCTACGGAGGATTAGTCAGCGTCATCTAATGGAGTCATATGATTTTCTGCTGATAAGAGTCAAGTGTCTGGAAAAGAATCCTAAAATAATTATTAAAAGTTAGTGAGATATGAAAACTACTATTAGAGTGGAGTTAATTATTTTGATCTGACCTCAGTTGATTACAAAGGAAGTTCGTGGAAAAAAAAAAGGTCATAAAATTTTTTTGGGTGGTTAGAAATGCAGTTATAGCTGAAGATGTCTAGAAATGCATCTAAAATAGCAACACATGACAAAATAGTTAATTGACTGACATTTTGACAATTTTGCTTACCTAAGCCCTTATAGAGTAATGAAAAATAAAAACGATTGGATGTATCTTAATAGAACCATCCAATATGGTTTATTTAAAAGAAAAGTCATTCCATTCCAAAAAGTGAGAGTTAGTTGTTCAGGAATTTCCCACTGTGTTAGAATTTTACAGTGGTTTCTGTAATCGTGAATGAAGATATCTTATTATTTGCCTCTGAGATCAGTTATTTAAAAATGAAGAATGATGAGTTAATTATTATGTTCTTTTTTTGTAGCTAGGGTTTTTTTTATTTCCAAATGGGGCTTTTTACATATTAGTAATTAGTATAATTTACCCAGAAGCAAAATGACTTATTGAAATCAGTAAGTCCTATTAATGGTTTCATAATTGAACTTTTCTGGAAATGAACTTGCTCTAATCATAGGAAGGATTTGATATAAATTTAATAATCTGCATCTTTACATTACATTGGTAATGTTGAAAAACTGCTGTCTTGGCAGCAAACACTGTAACTTTTCCCTTCTCTCCCTGAGTTGATTTACAGCTTGAGTCCAAGGAGAACATTAATTGGACACCAGTGACTCTGGGAAGTTTATTCCCCTTGGGAATTCACACAGCATTTTAGCTCACAACACTGGAGTGAGACAATAGTGAAGTGCCTGGAAGACATCTGGAAGAAGCGTGACTCACTCTATTTATCCCACAGTCCCTGTTTTATTTTATGTTTTTTAAACAGAAGGCCCTCTGTGAGCATCACACTATACATGCAGTTACCATTAGTTGTCTAAGAACTTGGCTTATTTGAAACCACAGCTAGAAGGAGGAGAAGGGGGAATTAGGGAAGAGAAAAAAAAAGCATTTTTATTATACAGCCTTCCAAGGTTATTTTCCCATTAATCATTTATTAACTCGTTCTCTGACCCCCTGAACTTCCCCCACCCCATCCTGCTTCATTATCAAATGGAAATGAATTAATAGATGTAGGTAGTATTTTTAAAAAGCTATTTCATCAAAAATTCAATTTGACAGTAACATTAGCCTTGAGTTCAGCCGTAGACAATAGACATTCTACTTTTTCTTACCTTGATGGATTCTTCCTTTAAAAAAAAAATTGCTTCCTGAATCATAGGCTAAGTAATTGCGTCTAAGTTTTCAAGAATTCAGTTAAGCAGCAAAGGAGCAATGTGAAGATTAGGTAGCAAATGCTGCCTGTTGTGCTGTTTGCCCATAGATTTGAAATTGCCCATAGATTTGCTATTTGTGTTTATTTAGGATGTGCAGGAGATGGCCTCTTTTGCAAAGAAGATTCCCAAAACTAGTGCATACATATATTAACTATT